TCTCTCAGTGCTCTGGCAAAATTTGCTAGAGTAACCGGTGGTGCCTGGAGAGACCTCCTCTCCCGGGTGTACCCCGGTTGTGTCAAGTTTCTGTGAATCCATTAGTCCTGGGAGAAGGTGATGAGACTAGCCCATAAGGCTGAAGTTTTGTTTCTCGTTTTTTCGCTCTTTGTATTTTACTTTTAATTTTTAGAAGAAAGTTTTTGGATTTCCATCCCTCTGCCCAGTTGCCGATGGATACTTAGACACATTATGTTTTGGATCATTTTACTTTTATCCGGAATTTTTCCTTCCGTTATTTTCTGAGGTTTTTGCCTTTTTGTTTTCGAAACAGCCGGGACCCGCCTGTTTGAGCCCGCAATTGGTTCTGAGCATACACAGTCAGAAGTGTATGCGTTTTTGTTTAAATCCAGCATTTCCTCGGTTAATAGGTCCGCGCGGGAGGGACTCTACTACTAAGTAAGTATGGAATGGCGGGAAGGACTCTACTACTAAGTAAGTATGGAATGGTCTAGGACCAGGATTTTTCTTATTACTAGATTCACGATGGGAGGAGCAGAGTTAGTCTGGCTCCCGGTGCTTTGAAAAGGAGAACCATTAGTACTACAAATAGATCTGACCACGAGTCAGTAGGCATAGCAGAGACACAGTTAGCTAACTTTAGGATCGAGGTTTTTGGAGGGAAAGTATTCAGCTAGACTCAGGGAATGCGTAGTAAGTAGGAAATGGACTGGGTTTTTGAATTTTTGAGAAGTACGGAGAGAACGAGTGAGAGAGAGGAAAAAAAGAAAGGACAACAGTATTTAAAGCCGAAGAGAGGGGATCTCACCACACTTGGTCGTGGAGTGATCTGAGGTACAAGCTGTTAAGCCCCCTGATGAGCTCGCCCTCACGCAGGCGGCGAAACGCGTCGGGGCAACGCGTGGACATGAGCGCGATTGGCTGATTTTTCGTCTTATGACTTGGTATCGTGCGATGATCATGATGAGTGTATTTTGAGTTGGCTATGGCACATATGTGTGGCGAGTCTTTTTCAAGTTCTCTCCTATCTGCATTTCCTTCCATGAGTGTCTCCACCCTCTTTGATCTCTCTCTCTCTCTCTCACACACACACACACACACACACACACACACACACACACACACACACACACACACACACAC